AGGGGTAAAGGGCAGTGCTGGTAGCTTATCCAGACAGTCCCTCCGTTGTTCCTATCACAAGACAGCTTAGGCCAGGTCTTCATGCAATTGTTACATTGCTGCTGAGCCTGCCCAGGATATCTATATTTATTTATAACTTGTACAAACCAGATTTTATTTTATATTGGGTAATCAAGCCTTGGTACATTTGTCAGGCATCTGCCAGGTGACAAATTAAAGCCCTCCAGTGAGAGCTACCCATGGTGGTGAGGGCCGGGAGGGTTTCCCAGGCTGCTAGGAAGAGGCTCTGTCCCTTTCCCCTGTGTAGGTGCCTTGTTTCTTCTGTCAGCCTCTGACTGGGAGATGACGTGTGTGTTGGAAGATCCCTCCTCCTGTGGTTGTTGGAAGGATGGGAGCATTTTTCTTGCCTGAAATCACCTCTCAGCATCTGAGCTGCCATAGTCCAGGATGTCTGCACGGTAGCTGCTGTCAGCTCGGGCCGGTACTGCTGCTGCAGTAGCATGGCTGCCCAGCCTTGGCGCAGGTCTGATGCTTCACTGTTTACCCAGGTTCTTAGCAGAATGGTTTTTTTAAAGGTAGTAGCAACACCCTGTGTAAAACCTGCCGGGGTGTGAGATGACTGGCTGCAGGGACTGCAGCCCATGTGGGAACACCTCCCACGGCCAGTGACACCTGCAGGCATCTAACACAGCTCCTCCATGGTCCTCTCGCTCTTGCAGCTGGCCCTTATTGCTGGAATTCAATTTCTTGAGCTGAGTTAAGGCTTCCTCCTCCTTTGTTTTTCTTGCTTTTTGTCTGTAGGTTATCATTTCCCTACCCCTGCACCTTAGATAGGCCACAGGTGTGGAAAAGCTTGTTGAGGACTTACGTAGAGATGGTCTTTTCTTGTCTGAGAGAAGAAAAGGGGATTTTGCAGTAGCCCAGCATGGTGTTCACCCGCCCTTTTTGCAGCACTGCAGCCTGAATAGAACTGTAGAGGCAGGGAGGGAGTCATTTGTGCCATGTGTTAGTTGTTAATTTTAGCTTTACCATAACTCTTGACGACAGGGCTTGGTTGTTTCCTGCTGTAGGCAGCATGTAGCAGTTATCCTGGAGATACGGTGTGGCTGTAAGACAGTAAAGCTGCAGCTCATCCCTGAGCCGTGGCGCGGTGTCAAGGAGTGCAATAGCCAGATTCCCCCTCTGACTCACGCAGCTGCTGCGTTCTGAAGCTGAGAGGCCATATGGTACCATTTTTCTTGCATTTGTGCTAAACCCTTGACTTCAGGTTAAGTGGGGATGGCATTAGGCACAGGCTCAGTTCCACACGTCTGAGGACAAAGCTTGGCCAAAAAGTGATTATGTATTTGCTATTATATGTGTTCCATTTAACCTTTGCCTACGGCCTTTTTCCTCATTCTGGGTACCTGGTGAAGTCTGTATGAAATACCAGCCTGTACTGGCAAGGTCAAAAGAGCATCCCAGGATTTGATGTACGGGTTCCAAACTGAACTTCTTCTGACGTGGAGGCTGCTCCAGAGAACTTCTACAAGTACATTATAGTGGACTGAACAAAAATTATGTAGCTTTAAAATCTTCTCTATGTTGTTGCTGATACTTTTGCCTTGTTATATTGAATTGCATTTGGTCTCTTGAGTCTAGAGCAAAACGATTGACTACATCAGAAGATACCTGTCTTATTTTCTCCTGGTGCTGATGTTAGCGTTTTGCCAACACATGGGTTACCCAGAGAGCATCGTGCTTCTGATGGCTGTGTGGCTGTACAGCGCTGGAGGCTTGCCTGGTTGTGTCCAGAGAGGTTGCTCTGACTGACACGGTCAGGCTCAGTGAAGTGGGCTGGTTAAAGGTGTGGGGAGTGCTGGCAACGTGCTGTAGCTAACTCCAGCGGGGAGCCTCTGGGAGCTCCTTCTCTGTCTAGTGTCATTTTTGTTGGTGGTCTTTTGCTGTGGTCCATAGAGTGTTTGTTCAGTCTCTACTCTCATGTTTGGTTAAACACTGTGTGATGATGCAAACACCTCCTCACTGCAGCAAAGGAACGCTGTGACGCTGTGCTCCTGCTCAGCCAACCTTTATGCAAACTTTGGGTATATATGCAACACCTGATAACGTTTTTCTGTAGCTAAAGAGAGACACCAGATCTGTAGGAGAGCTAACGACCTGGGTAGAAATGCAACGGGTGATGTGTTAAAGAACTGGAGGCACAGCTGGCTGCTTAGAATGGAGGTGTTGGGAGGGGCAAGGAATCACATAAAGGCTGAAGCAGTTCATCTGAAGTCATGTCAAGTGAAGTGTCAGAAATGAGACGTGCTCGCTTTATAACAGAACGTTCTTCATAGGCAGTTTAACAAGCTTTGGGATTAAATCTTGGGGAAAAAAAAAAGTGATGTAGCGGTTATGTCAAGGCTTTCACAAGCTTGCAGTGTGCAGTCTGGGCTGTGACTGGTGGAAAACCAGACCTGAACAGCCATGTAATCAGTGCTTTTCCTAGGCAGTTATGAGCTCACGCTATACTCACACCACAGCTGCATATGTATTTTCCAAAATACACTTTTGGAATTTTACATGCACTTTTTTAGTATGCTAATCATCTCTGTGGTCGTTCATTCCTGGAGTTAATGACTAGTCTCTTAGAGAAAACAAGTTAACAAACTGACAGCTGCTCATAACAAATTACTGGCTGGAGAGGCCAATATAAGTTTAATGTCCACAATAAATCCTTCTTTTTCTTCTGATGGTTCAGTGGAGCAATGGCAAAGAAATGAGGCAATAACTTCATTTATCAAAGCAGTTCATGGCTGTAGTAGATTTGCGCGTGAGAGCTCTTAGGCAGAAATGCCAGAGAATTAGAGACTGTGGATTTCTGTTCCTCTTTGAGTAATACTAAGTGTAAACGGGAAGAGGTAGATCTCTCAGTGTAACCTCACAGTCAGACAGACTACCAACAGCTGCCAGTCCCGGGTACATGGTTGGCCTAAAAAGATGGGCAAGAAGGGTGCTGGGGAGCTCTGAAGGCTCTTCTGGCTGCAATGTCAAGAGCGAACTGAAACATCATACCGAGACCTGATGCTAAAGTAACGGATTGCTCATTCCTGGTATGAGCCCCATGTTCTCTGCTGCGTGTGCAATCCCTCCTGCCCCAGGGCCAGAAGGGACCAGGGTTATTGCAGAGCTCATGGTCTGGGATGAGACAGAGAGCAGGTTTGTGGATGCTGTGCTGCTGCTGGGAGCAATTCCTGCAGCTGCTGGCTGATGGGATGCCTTGTCTGATCAGAGGGTCTGCAGTAATCAATAACCATCTTTTATCAGCAGTTAACCATTAACTCATGGCAAATAGCACTTTTTTCATAACCTTTGGTTACAATAAATAAATAGACGTAACAGCCTTGGATAAAGCAACAAATATTCTGCAGTTCCCATTTCCTTCACTAGAGCTGAGCTAGCCTAAGGACCAGCATTTTCTTAATACTTTGCAATGAACTGATGGACCTTGCTGACAGCTAGTTTGTGTATTACAGGTTTAGCTTGGGACATTGGTATCTGATAATATTAAAGTTATAGTTCCTGCTTTACTCGAATGCTGAAATCATGTTTAGGATTAAAAAAATAATCTATTATTAGTAGATTTATTGTTTTTTAAAATTATTGTTTCATTTGGCAAATGTGCTCATGGTCCAAAATGGCAGCATTGTGCCAGGATGCTGAGCTTGTTGAATGAAAAGCTAATCTCTCTTCACGTTTTGAAATGAGGGATTTAAAGGTATAAACACCAAGAAACTCATGATTTATGAAAGGTTTTTCCATTTCAGTATTTGAATATTAGTAGCATAAGATTTTTTTTCTTCAAATACAATTTTTTTTAACTTGACAGAATCCCATTTACACTGATCACACTGCAGAGGCCATACAGGTGGCTGTGTTAATGCTGCACTGAACTGAAACAGTCTGGTTTCAGAAATGGGGTTTAAACTGTGTCTTGAATACCTGAGGGGGTGGGCAGAGATATTAATGGGCATCGTGTTGTCTACAACTGTTTCCTCATTGAGAGCTTGGGTGAAGTCTCAGCTGTATTACTGGGTCCTGCTCTCATGCCAGCTTTACTCATCTCCGTACAGCTACCTGCCGGGGGCAGAGGGCATTTCTGTCTCTGTGGCGTGGCACCTTAGGCCAATTCGTATGCTGGGAGTGAATAAAAGCAAAGCCCAAGGAAACCGAACTGAGACACCAAGCACTTTGTTAGCTTAACTTTGTTCTTTCTGCTATTAAAGTTTCTACCAGTTCATAATATGCTAATTTCCCCCTGGAGCAGCTTGCATTTGTATTTTCTGTGTGTTTATGTGTATAAAATGTTCACAGCACAGCAGGGGAGAATTCTGGATGATTAAAGCCCAATTTTGTAGTTCTCGAGTTCCTAGATGCTTAAGTGTATTAGCAGTTTTGTTGATGCTAATGATTAATGCTAAGCTTGAGCATGCATTTGTAGAAATAGGGCCTCAAACAGCACATGGAGCACAGCAGCTTCATTACAGACTTGTATGAGGCAAAAATCTCAATTTTTAATTTTCTACTGTGGTGTTTGAAAAATCACGTAGGCTTGTCTTGAGATGTACTGTCCTGCTACAATCATATAGAGACCAATGGACCTATCAGAAAAACTTAAAATTGGTGGTCCTAAGCATGTAGCAGAAGGACATCAGTTCTCCAGCATTTGATTTCCTCTTCATGGGGATACAGAAGCAAAGTGATTCTTGAATTATCTCCCTGCCCTGGTTTGAATATAGAGAGGCTATGCATAGATAGAAATAAATGCATAGGCAAAAGAATCTTAAAGCTGTAACTATGAGGAAAAGCTTTTCAAAAACAAATTTAAACCTCCCCCCCCACCCCCCCTTTGTCGAGCTTATTGAAATCATGACCTTTCCTGTGAGTCTGCCACGTGTGGAGCTACCCACTGACTTTGCTACTTCTACACTGGCTCTTGGTACTTTGGTCTTGCGGACTTCATGGGAGTCATCCCCGGCATCGCCTGCCAGCCAGAATTTTTGCCCTTAGACCATAAGGAAGGTAGAAGCCTTGCTCTTCGGTTTTGTGAGGTGCCAGGTTCTGTTTATGAGGTTACACACTACTATTCATGGAAAGTTAAACAGTTATTAAATGTGACTGACAGACCCATTTTCCCGGTACTGCATGGCTTTCACTGTGCTGTTGATGTTGCATTGCTGGAGAGGGGTAAAGAGAAGTCTTTTGGTTTTAGACTGAATTGTTGTAATGTGGTGGAGCACCTAGTTGTGAAGGTCTCACTAAATTATTTCTTGGGCAAATGGAGTTATTTCCAGGGAGCATGCAGATTTTCTGTCCTCCTATTGCACCTTCCTCCTCTGGATTTCTGTCTTCAGCCAGACTCAGTCTCCATGCATTGGAACACCAGCAGAGGCTTCCCCCATGCTTTTATTTTGGGTTAATTTCTATGCATTTGTTTCACTCAAGCTTCCTGCTGCTGTCTTGGGTACTTGAATCTATTCAGGGTGAGCAGCTCATTGATTTAGGGCCTGATGGGAGTATTGCGAGTATCATGAATCAACAGCCTGGAGCTGGCTTTAGGAGCTGTGGAGGATTCTAACTTTCATTCTCTTTCTGCTTGTAGGTATTTGTATAAAATGTGGAAAAGGTGTGTATGGAGCGAGCCAGGCTTGCCAAGCAATGGGTAACCTCTATCATACCAACTGCTTCACGTGCTGCTCTTGTGGTAAGTCAGATCTACCATAGCCTTATTAAGTGGCTTCCTTTTGTAATACATGTTCCTGTAGCAACCAGTGTACAAAGTGAGACCTCATCTTGCCTACTTCCTGAGGCAAAATTCCCATGCAAGACTCCAGCTTCAAAAGTTGTTTTTTATTTGCCATCTGTAAATGTTCAATGGTGTTTTCTTAAGCAACAGCTCAGAAAAGTAGTATTTTGTTGTTTTAAGGGCTGCGATTACAAAATGGCTTCGACCTGGCCATTATAAGCACTGCATACTTTAAATCATTTGTGTTTATGGAACTGTGATGTGCATTTATCATTTTTACAGAAAAACGATAAAATCTGTGTAGCCAAAACTGTATTTTCCCTCACTTTTTATCTGCAAATGCTGCTCTAGTCAAGCATGTATATTTGTCATTTCTGTATATACATAATGCTCAAAAATTGTTGTCTTATGTTTGGATATGATAAGAAGAAATAGAAACTGCATGTTGAAACACCTTAAGCTATTAGAATATTTTGTTTTTGTAGAGGAAAACTTGCAAGTAAATCACTGTCTCCTCCTTGTCTTTCTCAGGACCTTTTTTAATGTGAACACATCTGAAAGTGATGTATTCTCTGTGATTTGGGGAAGTCATGACTTTGCCAGGGGAAACAGGGCTTGGAAAATTCAGGGCAGCACTTTCAGAAGTGTTTACCTTAAGTCAAGCACTGTGAACTTAAGTTGGTAACTTCCTCAGTGTCTTGTCTGTAACTGCTGAAAGTTCACAAATTCCCACAGAGTTCAAGGGAAGTATGAGAGCTCAATTTTCAGGAGTCAGGTTATTTTTCTTGATATACCCACACGTTTATTTAGGTTCTTAATATATGAAAATATTTGCCTGGATGTTGAAGATCTTGTTGAGATACATATACACAGCAAAAGATGTACCCTGAGCAGAATATGCCAAGCGTAAATTGTTTATAAAAAGGATTAATGAAGGATTAGAAAAAGAGTAAAAGATTATTGGCATAGAACCAAATAAGTTGATAATGAAAAGACCATTGTAAAGTTCACTTGTGAAAGGAGAAGTGTTGTCTTTTCTCCTGAGATTTGTACAGATAAATATTGGTTTAAAGAAACCTACAACCTGAATGTAGAATTAGTGACCTTTATAAATGACTCTGGACCATTACCAGGCTCTAGAATAAACTCATCTCAAACCTTCAAGGATCGCTCTCAGCTTTGCTCAAGTCTGACAGTGAATGAGTAGCTATTTTGTTGGCTCCCAAAGCGAACAGCATCCTGCTTAGCAGAGGATTACAAAATATGATATCGGATAATATCTTATCTATCTACCCATCGCCAACATTAACCTAACCTAATTGCATGGGTGAATTCCAGCTTCCTCTCTGGGGCAGGCGTGGTTTTTTTAAGTAGTCAGGGTGCATGTTTGCTACCACAGGGGTCTGTACACAGGTCACTCTGTTCCTCAAAAGAATGTGTAAGGGCCGAGGAATGTATTTTAACAGCAAAATACAAACCCAACTTAATTATTCAAAGGCACAACAAAGTTTTCTGACTGTCCTGGTGTGGTGTGTGTGGCCAGTGTACAATCTACCATGGGGCGACCTGAGACATGTCTGTTCGGAGCGTAGTTTTGCCCCACCCCGCAGCGCTGGTGGAATTTTGTGATTAACACAGCTTTCCGTGAGTCACGCACATGCACGAGGAAATGGTGTGTGAGGTGGTATTCTGCGCTTCTCACTGTACTGCTCGTGGGCTGGAGGGCCCAGCTATCATCCACCAGGGTGTTTCGCAAGCAAAAAGGGATTGGATTTCCTTCTGTCTGCAACAATCCCATCTCCGATACAATCCCATCAATAGGGGAATGTGTGGGGAATTTCTCATGTTAGGTGCCAAAAAGGTGGATGTGCTACTGATGTGGCAGTAGTGCTGGAATGCAGGTAAAAAAACTTGATCGAAGCTTAGGTTCAGCTACATGCAACTGTGAGTCAAAAGTGGAGCTTTTCCTCTCAATTCAGCTCTGAAATAGTATCAAAATGAGCATAGCTGGAAAGGGGGTGTTGCATTAACTCTGTTTTCCCACTTTATCTGGGGCTGTGCAGTCTTTAGGAAAACCAGAGGGATTCAGGACAGTGTCAGTAGATCCAGATCTTGGGAATGAGGCATGCAGGTCCCATCTGTGGGAATTGCATCCTGGAGTGTGCTGCTGAAAAGGCTTTACAGGACCTCTTGTACAAGCAACCAAACGCAAACTTCTCACAATACTGCAGTTTATGAACGGGGAGTTTATTTTACCTTCAGTGTGACATTGGTGGGACCCAGGTGACAATTCTGCACTCTAGTTTTGAGGCCTACCTTTAAAGTGATGAGGAAAAACTGGAGAGGGTCTGGTGAGAGCCTGGTGTATTTTGGGTATCAAAATTGATGGGAGGGATATGTGGCTGGAGCTCATAAATACTTCTACCAGAAAACAGCATTAGATGGTGGTCTCATATGTACTAGAGACAAACACAAGAGAGCTTTTCTGGAGGCTGAAATTACACAATTCAAATAGGAAATCAAAGACAGTTTTTATACAATGAGGATGGTTAACTGCTGGAAGAAAATGGCAGGAGAAGTGGCAGATTCTTCTTTGTTTTCAAATTAAGACCTAATGTCCCTTTGGAAAGTTTTTTAAGTTGAGCCAAGCTTTTAGATTCAATGCGTAGGTGATCATTAATGACCTTTGTTAGGCAAGAGGTCGTAGCATACAGACTTAGGCTCCTTCTGAGCCTTTGACAGGAGAGTGGAGAAGTACATTAGTGTTCTCTGCCTAAAACAGTTCCTACGCGCTAGTTCCTACGTATGCTTAGAAATCTGAGATAGAGTAAGAGCACAAGCTTGCCTTTCTTCTTTTCCTCTTTTTTTTCCCAAATAACAAGAATGATCCAAACTTTTCTCCAGCTGTTACCAGTCTTGCTTTTATATAATGAATCTAGAAGCAGAAGGCAGTAACCAAAGAAGAAAAATTCTGTACCTGAAGACATCTGATTTAGATAAGGGCCCAATATTTAACCAGCTACAATTAAAAAATTAAAAGAAAAATTATATTTCAAACCCTTGGGAAAAGTTGTGGTTTGGAGACCACTCAGGCTGAAATGTGATAATGAGTGATGGAGCCTCCAAGGGCCTCGTTTCAGCACTCGGCAGTGAGTATTTTCAGCTCAGCAAAGGCAAGTGCAGTTCTGCAGAGAAGTGGGAAGGGACCCTCAGTAGGAAATTCTGCCTGAGCCAGAGTCCTTTCTTAGGCACTTCTTTGAGTTTAACTTTGGTTTCAGTGCCAAGTGCCATCTGTCTGCGTGCCCTGGTTGAAAAGGGCAGCACATGACAGAATGGGCCATCCTGCACCTTCCAGGGAGCAAACAGCACTTGCCCCAGCGCTGTCCTTTTCGACTCCTACCATCGTATGGGACACCATTGCTGGAGGGTTTGTGTTTCTTGTAATTAAGAGAAAAACCTAGAATACAGTCACAGATGCAGGCACCTCTGTGAGGACTCCAGCCTTGCTAGTGTAGAAACGTGAGGATGCAAGGATGGATTCTCATGGCTCTTCTGCAATGATGGTGGTTAGCTCTTGAGAACGTGAATACAGAAAGATGTAGAAATATTTCAAAGATACAGTAAGTAGGAGACTTCTGTCCCCTTTAGATGTTCTGGTAAAATGCTCAGATGGCAAATTTCTTCATTGTCATCTTAGGTTCTGGCAACTTTGGAATAAACTCAGTAATATATTGATTCGGAGATATACAGGATCTCCTCAAAAAAAGGAAATCTTGCCAGTGAGCCGAGGTCAGAAAAAGAATGGAAAGGAAAAGTAAATTACTTGCCTAGCAGACACATTTTATGTTTTAAAATAAGATGCTGCATTTCTGCCTCTTTAATGTGTTCAGTGGGCTTTGGATAGTTTAGCCTTGCTCCCATAACAGAGCAAGTTCAGCATCTCAGAACTTTGCTCTGTCAGTTAATTTTTGTTACGTCTCCGTGTAAAACCCTATTGCCTTCTGCAAAAAGCCATGTTTCTCAGGTAGGTTTTTTTGGAGGTCAGATAATTCTCTTCAGGTAATGTAAAAGCCAAAGTGATCTGGTTTCCTTGGGATTAAATAGTTCAATGAAGATCTTTATCCACAATCTCTTAGAGAAAACAACTGAAGCTTGTTAGGATGGTTTTTAAATGTAGATTCAAATCCTCTCTCAGCCCTAACACCAGTGGAACATCTTTTAGGCCTTGATTCAGCAAAACACTTAGACATATGCTTAAGTATGTTATATTACTCATATGTAAGCATGTTTTGCTGAATCTTAAGTAACAGAGATTAATTCAGGCAACAGCATACACTGTCCCTTCTGTTAAGTGTAACATTTTAGTTTTGGCAGGAGTTCAGTTGCAGATTTTGCTTACGGAAGACAAAAGCTGAAAAATGTCTGCCTGAAAAGCTCATCATCTAATTCCTCTTGGTAGTATTTCAGAGCATGACAGGATTTCTTGAAGAATAATTGCAGGAATACCAGATCGCTTGTGTGCTCTAAGTGCAGGTGATCAGTTGCAGGAATTAATGGACTCTGTTTGATACTCATTACAGAAGATAATTTATCAGATGCCTCCAGTTTGCAGATCATAATGCCATCCACAGCATCGTTTCAGGCTGAAAATTTTAATCCAGTGGCAATGATTGTAGAAACTGCAGTAAGATAAATCTTTAAAACGAGGAATATTGGTTTGTTACTTGTTGCTCTGGGGGTGTAAAAGATGGGCAGGGAATGAGCTTTGCAGAGCTAAGGGTTTGAAATCTCTATACTCTCAAAGCTGAAATATATTTCACCATAAAAACCAGGGACACGTTCTGCTCTCTTACGTGAAGGCAAATGTTTACGCATGCCATTCATCTTTAATTTGCACTTTTGCCAGTGGTTTTAAGGCACAGGAAATCACCACAAGATCAATCAGAAGCCTAAAGCAA